TACACTAAGGCGATGAATTAATCAAATATGTAATCATACAATTGTTATTATTATCGTGTTTTTTTTTTGCAGTAAGAACTAAAACTGGATATTTTGTTCAAAACATACAAAGTTACCGCAATATTCTTTAAATTGGACTAAACTCTCTAATTGGACTAAATTCTACATGACATCATAATACTTTATTATTCACTAGCGACTCATTATTGCTTCACTCAGGTTCGTCCCCACGTACGTTTTGACTCTTAATATAGAAAAGATATTTTTTCAAATTTTATTTTGGTGATTTTTTTCCCGATGTTTTAATAGTTATTCTGCTATTCGGGGGAGAAGGTGCAACAAAACAAAGATCATAAAAATCGGTCCAGCACTTCTCGAGTTATAAGTTTTGTAACAAACCCGACTTTGTTTTATATATACTTATGGATAGACTCATTAACATTAATACTAGTGGTGGCCTAGTGGTCGAATTTTGGCCATAATCATTATTAAAAAAAATTAAGTAATGCAAAGTGACGTAAAGTAAAAACTATTTCTTGTTTACCTCTAAATATAAAAAAAAACTGTGTCCAAAAAATTATTTTACAACAATAGCTACTAAACAAAAAAAATCGGTTGATAAACAGATGAGAAAAAGGTATTGAGCTGTTTTGTCCTTGCCAACTTATATGTAGATATTTGTACATACCCATTTCTTTGTAACGATTTCCTCTACATATAACAGCGTAGAAATGTAACGCAACTGTCATTATCATAAATATCAAACTTGTTGTATAGTAAAAACTATATGGAGACCAAGCTCTCGAACATCTATAAATAATAAAAAGTATAATTTCAAAACATTTAGTACAGAATACGAACTTTCTTAAGGATAAAAAATATATTTTATGGAATAGGTAGGTTTTAACGGTTAGTATCGATTTCTCAGAGATGAAATATTTTCCCACAGTAAAATGTATTCTATATGTTGACCCGGATAACCAGCTATCATCATACCAAATTTCATCAAAATCCCTCCACAGACAGACCGACAGACAGACAGACAAAATTTCTAAAAACTATAGATTCGGACTCTGTATCGATAATAATGTCTATTTCAATCAGATTTTCCAAAAAATATTTAATGTACAGATTCGACTTAGTTACAATTTTATTATATGTATAGATTTAATTCTGGTGCGAAACGAAAATACAACTCGGAAAAAAGTATCTACAACCTGAATTGAGCCATCACATTATATTCATATATTTGTTAAATACAAATGTCTGTTTGTGATTCCGCAAAAGCTATTCCTCGCGAGAACATAAAGCTCTTCGGTACTATGCCTGATCTCTCTTAGATCGGGTCGAATTATCGTTCCATTGGAATTTGAGAGTTAAAGGAATAGAGAATGCTTGTGCTGCGTGAACACTTGTGCACTATAATAACTCCTACGCAGTTGTCTAGTCTCAGGGAGGTTTTTTATTGGATTGGTCAGGAAGACATCATCAATAGCTATCCCACAGTACATATATTTTGTATGTAAATAAAACGGTTTGGTCTATTTTATAGGGATATCCACAGGAAAATAGATAAAATAAAGAAAAAAATAATCCTTTATTTAGTAAAGCAATAAAGGGTACCTACTTTAAATTCTGAAAAAAGAAAATGTGGTAATTGAGTATCTTCTGCTTTTCGTTCAAGAAATATAGTATTACTTTAGAAGGAATTAGAAGTTTTAAAAAATGTTGGCACATGTAGACAAGTAAGAGGGAATAGCTAGTTTATAAATAATATAAGAACTTACCGAGAAAAATGACTGTTGCGGTTTAATAATCCAGAAATAGGTAAATGTCCAACAATTCTGCAACGATATAATATTTTCCTAATAGCTTCATAGAAACCTTTAATTTTCTTAGGATATTTTCCGCTCATTTCGACTCCTTTGAACCTCTAATGGGTGAAGAAATTAGAAGTTTTACTGAAACGTATTATTCCATTACATTAATCCAATTAAGGATACGCCTATATTCGTAGGTTCAGGTTAGAATTAGGAAGGAATTAAAAATAATACTATATTTTTATTTAGGTTCGTCTGTTATTATTAATTTGGTGTTTTCGAGTAAATTAGTAAATTATCTAATTCAACTCATGACCTCTGACTTATCTTCTTGTACTTTAATAAGATATCCTGAGAAAGGTCAAAGATTTAAATTTTAACGTGGTGGTTTTATCCCGGAAATCATCTCTTAAGCGGGTGAAAAGAGGGGCGGAAGTTTGTAAGGGGAATCGATCATTTCTCAAGTAAGGGATATAAAACTCATCATACCTATTTATATATATATAGTCTATCTAAAACATGCTAGTGTAAGATAATGTTAGCTTAAATAGATCGTTAGAGAGCTTTGCGCATAAATGATACATGCTTCGTATATCAATATCACCATGCTAATAGTAACTCAAAAAACAGAGAACGTAAAATAATTATAAAAGTATCAATATTTTCATGTTCCTTGAAAAGAATATACATATATTAATTTATTTTAAAAGAATATATATATATATATATATATATATATATATATATATAATAGGTACATGTTTTACCTATGAAGTTTAAAAAGCGCCTAAAAGGAAAATATATTTGACCCAAAATATTCACCGATATTATCGATGACAGATAACATATGGACTATGGTGTTGATTTATTACTATAAATGATCTTGTTTACTTTAGACAGGTTCGCTCTTATTAAATGAGTTCGTTGAAAAATTAAGTAAATAATACAATATTTACATTTTATATATACAATATTTTATATACATTTTTTAGGATTCCTTCTTTCCACTTGTTAGTATATACCTTCTATGTGTTTTAATTAAAATCACATTACAATAATATTATTATTGCGAAAAATTTATGTACACAACAAAATTTATGTACACAATATTTGTTACTTTTTCAAGCTGGAACAACCGGAGGGCATTTGTATGAAGTGTTCGCAATTTTTTGGTATAATTTTTGTTTTGTTTCGCCAGTAATAACTTAGATCATAATTACAAGACTATGTAAGAAGTAAATCAAAATATAACTAACTCTCTTAACCGTAACGAACCAGAGATATGGTGGTTGCTATTGCTTTTTATCAGGCGTTATTTTCTAATCGATACTACTTTATTCTTCTCAACCAGCTTATGTAGAGCGCTTGGCCGCTCCTAGATTATATATATGCAAGTGCTACTGATATTACATTCGGGAGACCTTTTTTTTAACGTTGGGAAATGTATTTAGGCACGGTATAGTCTAGTCGCCTCTAGTCGCTAGTAGTAGTTAACTGCCTCGGTGGTGTAGTGGCTAGCATGTACGGCTGCACACCCAGAGGTCCTGGGTTCGAGTCCCGGGTCGGGCCAAGTTTAATTATTGAGTCTTCCTGTATAGTAAGTCTCAGTAACAGCCCGGAGTTGGGAAGTTGGCGGTGTTTCACCCCCGTGTCTCGGAGAGCACGTAAAGCCGTCGGTCCTGCGCCTTAACTCTCACCGGTCGTGTCGAGTGGTCGTTCCACCGGAGTATGAGAGTGATAGGAATAGAGAGTGCACTTGAGTCTGCGCGTACACTTGAGCACTATAATATCTCCTGCGCAGTTCGCTAATCTCATTGACATTAGCTGCCGTGGCCGGAATCGGCTAGGAGAACATCATCATCATCAGTCTAGTCGTGTATACACAAATTTGAAATGCTTGAAGAAGAAAAGCGTTTTAAAGATGCTTTAATTATTGTTTCCATGAAAATATTTAACTGATTTATTCAGCTTAATTGTCGAACCGCTTTTCCGTCCAAACAAATACAAGTATCAATTGTCTATAATCTGATACGATTTTATCGTAAGCGTGCTAATTGGATAATGGATGGAGCATTTTGTAAAAGTAGCAATAATATGTGTGATTGTTAAATGCTTTAGTAATCAATTGTCATTAAGTGGCATTTTGTATGAGATATATAAATATTTTTTTTTTATAAATATGTTGGGACATTAACACACAGTACCATCTAGTTCCATGGTAAGCTACGAGGCCTGTGTTATGGATACCAGATAGTTGATAAACTACACATATATAACTTTAAATACATGCATATCATAAATATACACACCCATGACTCGAACCCGCGACCGTTGGCACAGCAAGTAGGATCACTACAAACTGAGCGAAACTTCGTCGATGCATAATTTAAAAATAAGACAGTTTTAAGATAAGGTCCAAAACAAAATCCAAAAAAAGTACAACGTTTAAAGTAGCTGAAATACAGCAAAAAATTAAAGAAAACCGCCTGTATGTAGTGAAGACAATATGACTAGACAGGTCTTGGCCATTAAGGAAGGCGGAAGATGCAGAGGACGCCCACCAACTGGACAAGAACAATCCACAATGATATCTCTGTTAACGATGGCCTTAGCGCTAAAAATGACGCAAAATCGCCAAAAGTGGCGTAAAAGTATTTGGAGGGCTGACCTCAAATAGAGAAAAGCCAAGAAGATTGATTAATTGTATAATAAAATACGATCCAGAAGTTTTAATTTGGTGTAATTAAAAACAGTAAAATAACTATTATTGATTTTTAACTAAAAAAGGTATATCGTGGACAAAATCACTTACATATATAATTGTAATTATTCTACCCTAAGAGATGGATTTGGTAAACAAATATTTTTATATGTACATATATTTAACTAAATGTCGCTTCAGTTTGTAAAAGTACACGTAAGTTACATGAATTTAATGAAAATATATACAAAACCATTCCAAAGTTATACCACTCTTTCCAAAACACTTTACTTAACATTCAATATTCAATCTTGTGAAAGCCTAAGGTAAAAAGTTAGATTGGTATAGAATTTGTCGAATTGACATCTTCATATATTATGTATCTATAATAAAGTATAATTTATTATAATCAAGCCTTCGTGCTCATGAAAAACTGAATAGATTTAATCTGATAGGACAAAGCACGTCTTTCTGTAAACATGTCTATACATCCCGTACATGTTAATGTAAAAAGCACAAACAATACTGGTAAGTTCTTGTAATATCAATGAAAATAATTAAAAAACTAGAGTCTGTTTGTTTATTTGTCCAACTTTCTTGCTGTACATACTTTGTCATATAATATATCAAAAAGCTATTAAATACTCAGTAATATCTATATATAATATATATATAGTCCCTAGGTTGGTTCCCCATACAAAATTTAATCCCCATTTTCACCCCGTTCAGGGATGATTTTCGGGATAAAAAGTATTCTATGTCCTTTCCGCGGTCTCAAACTATCTTCTTATCTAAATCGGTTGAGTAGATCCAGAGATTACTCCCTACAATGTCTCAAACTCACAATTCACAAACTTTACATGTTTATAATATTAGTATAGATGATTTTATTCCTTTTTGTTTCTATAACAGAAAATTCAAATGCTGAAGTAAATGGAATAGCAATTATTGGTATAAAAACTAACCCGAAGAATCTTGAAGACCAAGCGAGGTAAATAAATGCTTTAATTTCTATTAGAAATTTAATATATTGTAATGGCCAATGTAAGTACTAAGTAACTTTTAGTATATACAGCAAAATTATGCTATCTGTTTTTGAATTTAACATCTTTCACGGACTCTGTCTATACAATTATTTATTAATAAAATGAATTTTAGTGTCAGTAATATAATATCTATCGAACGAGTACAAAGTTATTGAGAGTTAAAGTTACTACATTTCCATACATTATTATGACATAGCTGCCATGTTGACACTTGGTAATGTCAAAATGTCACTTCCAAGTGCCAAAATGATCTTCAAATAATGAGTCAAATCTATCACTAAATTTTAAATTAACATAAAGCACTACTCTCAACCTACATTATCCAATTCAGACTGCCACTTAATCGAAAATAAATAATACACTTAGATTAAAAAAATAGTCTACTTACGTTTATAATCTACATGAGTACACTTACAAAACTAAGAACATATAAAACTATAGTAATACTATTAAAACAAAAGACTAGAAACGAACGTACTGAAAAAATATATGAGAAAAATAACTATGAAAAAAAGCAAAAAATATGAAAACTAAACACGTTTAATGAGTACAGATCGTATCTATCGAACTTCGCGGTATTTTGTGACTACCCGCCAAAAATACTGAAAAGCATCACAGATAACAAAATCAAGTAATGGTTTAAAAAATTTTGCTTAATGTAAATTAATTATATAACTCAATATTTTACATAACATATTTCTATTTTAAAATCTTAATAATCTGACGTCAATTTTTACTTTTCATATGCATAACTCTTAACTAATTATTAAGCTATAATCTGTCCTGAAAGCGGTATATAAAACAGAAATTGACAGTTTTGTCAAAATTTAAGCTTATTTTGTTGACGTTATTGTTTTTAATGAAAATATCAAAATATTAATAAAATAAAGCCTTATTTGTTATTAAAATATGGATTTTACACGAAAAAGGATGTTTATTATTCATTAAAGGTATGTTTATCTTTTGTAATGTCTTATTTAGGTATAGAAATGTATGGAAATGTTCTAACTTTAAGTCTCAATAACTTTTGACTCCTTCGTTTCCTCAAAATAATTTATATATATTTGAACTTCCTATGACCTCCTCTATCCGTCATCACAATAAAACCACTGGAGAGATTTTGATGAAATGTGGTATAATGATAGCTGGTCATCCGGGTTAACATAAAGGATACTTTTTACTGCGGGGTTATCTCTGAGAAATCTATACTAAACGTTAAAACGTAACCAATATAACAAAAAAACCAAATACCTTTATAGGTTTATACCTTAAAAAAATAATTTCGCCTTTATTTAGTGCCAGCTACTTATCCGCGTTTCACTCGATTCCCTTGGTACGTTATGAACTTTTGAGGTAAATTCTGATTCTTTTGTCTAAAATAAAAGTAACCTAAGTTACTCCTTATAGCATCAGCTATGCCAGTGAAAATCCCGTTAAAATAGGAGATTAGCTGGAACAAACAGACAGACAAACATATACAAAAAATTTAAAGGTTGTTTTTTTTTTAATATGTACCGTATATAATTTCATATGCATTTAGTAAAAACCTGTTATTTTGACATTACAAACAGACAATTTTATTCATCTGTATGTATAAGTATATAGATTTAAACATTTATGTTTTAGGGAGAAAGGAAACGATTTGAATGTGAATAAATGGATTTTTACCAAGATTGCTTACTGTAAGTACATTTATTATTGTAAGAGACCTGGTGAACATTTTAGGGTAGGTAGGTAATTGAGGCACTACAGAAAATTTTGTAGTTTTCCTTTAAGGACTCCTAAATTATTCCTACACTCATTATAATAATTTTAATAATATACAATTAAAATAAGCAAAATAATAACACGTGGCTCACGAAAACGTATTTATTATATTATACGACTGAAATTTTTATTTAGCTCCGAAATTTCTACTGAGAGCCCTCATGGGCACCGCTACCAGTCAGCTATACCTCGACTATACCATTTAGGGGTCCTTTTAGGAGAATTACAAAATTGTCTGTAATGCCTCAATTACCTATCCTAAAATGTTCACCAGCTCTCGGACCATTATTTAGAGTTTAGACTAAGAACGTACTACTTAAGTAATGAAATCGTAAGAGTTATAATAATAAAACCAAAATTAAAATACACACTACAATATTTAATTATATAATTTATTGAGATAACTTATTAAAATTTTGTAAAATTACAATACAAATATAGTAAGGTACTTCAGCCATTTGTCTTTTCTTCCAAGTTATTGTAGGTATAATTTTGTGGGAAGACACTGTCTTTGTCTCTATGTAAAAACTATTGAGACGTCTAAAATCTTAGTCTCTCCCGTGGCCATGTTTGCTCGAAAGCATTCGAAACATTGGCAAAAAAAATATATCCGAAAAGAATTCATTTAGGCACATTATGTTAAAAAAAATGTTTTCAAGTCCTAAGAATCCGAAATCATGTATTTCCCATAGATTTTTGTGGATTTTTATAAATGAATCAATCAAATCAGAATATCGTAGGAAAGGCAAAAATATTACGATCATTAGAAGAAATTTTGAGATTCATCCTACTCAGTTCGAACTGTTACAGCAACATGTACCGTATACATAATATTTAAATTTCTCTTTTGTTACGACCTTTTTTATTCGTAAAATTTCGCAGAAAAATAAAGTATATTATTTACAAAGAATTTTGTACTCATGTTAAGAAAATATCTTCAAGGTTAACTTCGCTCGAAAGGTACCGAAGATAGCTCATTCTTAAAATTTTTATATACGTAGCTTTCCATAGATTTATGATTTATCACACTATTAAGTTTGTTTGTGTGGTGCGGATGTTTATTATTTCTTAACGCTAAAATAGTTGGACGGATTTTAATGAAATTTAATATACAAACGAACAAGGGTTAGTTAGGTTAAGTTACTAGTGTAAATAATTCTCAGTAAAGCCATGACACGATTTCTTTACATACGAGTACTAACACAAACAAAAAAGGAATTTGCTTTGTAATAACATATAATAAAATAATATTAAAAAACATACTAAATTAGAAATAAATAAGTCTATGCTCGTTTTAAATTTACTTTCATTATTTCAACAGTAAATCGCGTGTTCGAATATTTTACAAGAAACCCCCCAACATATAATGAGCAAGTTGAATTATTTCATAGCACAATGAAATATTTCATTATAAGTGGACAGTGCCTTGGTGTGTTTCCTATGATTGATTACTCAAATCCTAATCCAACAAAGAGAAGGTAAGAAAATAATATACATACTAATATTATCAATGTAAAAGCAACTCTATCTGTTACCTTTACACGCTTAAGCCGCTGAACAGATTTTGATAAAATTTTGCAAGGGCATAGATAGCGTCATGGATGGACATAGGCTACTTTTGATCTGAGCCCTACTTACTACGGGAGCGAAGCTGCGAGCAAAAACTAGTAAGTAATAATATTTACTACCATATCTCAAAAGCTAAATTCCGTTAAAAAATATTTTTGTCCATTTCAGATACCCAATCTTATCATGGAGATATGCAATAAGCTTGATGATGTGCTTTGGACAATTTTTATTTTCAATTCTCAGCTTTTACAGATTATTCATTTCTTCAATAAATAATAATTTAATTTGTAAGTAGTTTAAAGAAAACTTTATTTCTATTAGAGATATACCGGAATTACGCCTGCCTCTTCTATAAAATATTATAGTTTTTGCAAAACCACATTAAATTAAATATTAAAAAAAATATATTAATGTTCAAGGAGTAAGGTTTTGTATTATCTAATAAAATTCATATAACAACAAATTCATATAAAACATATAATAAAATTCTGAGTCCAATCTGGAACATTAAATATTTTTTGGATAATATTATTGGAATAGTAATTATTGTCGATACAGCAGCAAAATCTATAGTTTTTAGAATTTTGTCTCTTTGTCAGTCAGTCTGTCTGGGAACGCATCACGAGAAAACTACTGGACATAATTTGATTAAATGTTGTATGTATAAGTATATACATTTTATTAATATGCTGGTTACCTTTTTTTTAACGTTGGGAAATGCATTTACGCACGACGTGTGGGACTCACCGGCGTAATACAGCCAGTACTACCCACTAAAACCCAACAAAACCTTCCCCCGCCTTAATGGGGCGTCGCAGGATCGCTTACGCATTCAACTACGACGCCCCGACGGCAGGTCTGCCAAAGCAGACCACCACAACCATGTGGTTGCTCCAAGGTCAACTCTGCTATCAGAGAAGTACCAGGAGCAACCCACAAGGTACACCGCCCCCCGAAGAGGGCCACCTCCCAACGCCCACCGAAGTGGGCAACCTCCCTGTGCGTTTCTTAGCTTCGCGCCCGGTTGGATTGCCGGGCACTACTGAGCCCCCCCACCACCACAAGGTGGGGGGGAGATATCTGGTTACCTGGGTCAACTTATAGAATACTTTTTACTGCGTGAAAATATCTAATCTAAGAGAAATTTATACTAAACGTTAAAATAAAACAAAGGACAACCGTTTTAGTATAAGATCCGAAATATAGTCGTCCATCACTCAGCTGGTTTATACATATATATATATCTATATTTTATACTTAGTAATAAATAAACAAAAAAAATCATCACAATCGCATCATTGGTTAAGGCATGTATAAGGACAAACATACAAACATTTATTTTTCTTTATATAGCTTTAAAAAGTCGGTACCGGTAAATGTGTATTCGATATACACGTCCCATATAATATGTTACCATGATCTGTACGGTTCTTCTATAGATTTTTTTTTTATTTCAGCACACTTTTCACTTTTCTTCTTGAATTGCCTGACATGTATTTTGTTCATTCGCTTGGCAACTAAATGGCATTATCTAGTGAAACAAGTGGCTGCATCCGAGTTAAACGAGTATATAGATCCCTATGTGACTTACAAATGCAAGATAGCCGTTGTTAGTATTATAGGTTTTACTACCCGTAAGTAAATAAACATAAATAATAAAAACTATAACACTGTTTGACAGTATCAGTATATATTTAAGTTAAAGTCTTCCGTCATACTGAATTTGTGTTTGTTCGAACAAAACTCAGAAACTATTGTATGTATGGTTTCATAAGGTTTCATATGGTTTCATATGGTTGTCACCTATCCGTTTTTGGATTTTTAAGGGAGACTATAATTTATGAAAAGTTTGTGAAACTAAGCTACTACTGATATGATGATATTTGTGAATGAAATTGGAAAAAATAGTCCTTTCTGAGAACTTCCGTCATATAGTAAAATCAAAGGGCGTATGAGTTGGGTCATTATTATAATATCATAATAAGCATTTTCGGTTGAGGAGATCCATTTTTAGCCCCAACAGTCTTAATCATATTCACTAAACCTTAAACAACATTGATACACTCTTGTTAATTATAAGAAAAGACAGAAAAAATCGGTCATATCTCATGTAGATCTACGAAGTACGATAAACAGAAAAAGCACAAGTACAAAATATTAAGATTCATCTCAATTTTTTTCCTTTAAAGTTAAATAAGATACATTGGACAAATAAAGCCTGAAATGGCTTACTAAAAACTTGTTATGTAAAAATTAACATTTAAATAGTTTATGTTCATTCATCAACAATGTCAATAATATCAGTGGATCAAGCCCTATGTTATATTTTATACTCATTTCCAGTGGAGTACATATTTTCTTTGGCCTCAAAAGCAGCAGTTGTCCGAGATTGTTACTCGGATAGTGACAATAAGTTCCAAATATTCATAAAGATTATGTTTCCTTGGTTCTTCAAGCTCAACTTCCAGTACTCTCTTGTAGCTGGGATCTGTTTAGTGGTAATTTTTTATTTAGAACTATTTATTCTTACCAACCACAATACTTTTTCCCTAATCTATGCGTGGCTTCGGCTAGCATGAATTGCTGCAGCTCCATAGTTCCTGGGTTCGAGTCCCGAGTTGGGTCAAGTATAGTTGGGTCAATTGGGGTTTTCTATTAAGAAATATCAGTAACAGCCCGGGGTTGGAAAGTTGACGGTGTTACACCTTCGTGCCTCGGAGAGCGTATATCTGTCGATCCTGCATTTGGTCTCTCTGGTCGCGTTGAGTTGTTCCGCCGGAGTTTGAGAGTGTACTTGTGCGCTATAATACCTACTACGTATATGTCTAGTCTCAAAGAGATTGGTCGCCGTGCGCTGAAGTCTATATAACTTATATCTTAGATTACCTACGCTCCACTCATATAGTTGATTCGAGAGTTAAAAGTAGTGTGTGGATTAATTAATTATCTTTCATTAATTATCCATATTTACTAATATTATAAATGTGAAAGTCTGTTTGTTTGTTTCTTTCTTTGTCCTTCTATCACGTCACGTTTTTCGTGTGGAGATAGTTGGAGTGCTGGAGAGTGACATAGGCTATTTTTTATCGCGAGAGATTATCTCACTCCCACGGGAAAACAAGTTATAATACAACTTAAAAAATATTTATGTTCAGAATTACTTGAAACTTGGGATTAATGCTCTCCAATACAATTAAGTCCGTGTTTTAGCATTTTTCGAAATCATTCCATAAGAGAGTAAAATATGGGATGAAAATTTGTATGAAACCTACTTTTTTAGTTTTTTTTTTTGTAGTTTTAGCGCGAGTGAAGCTGCGGGTTCTGCTAGTAATATTATAATATAACAATCATGGTTCAATAACAATAATTGAACACAGTAATATTTACTATTTTACTATCTACAAGTCTTCATCAACTTTTATATTATGTTTTTTTGTATTATATATTGTATATATGTTAACAGGTTTATAAAACTCCGTCGGCAATAATGTGGAGCTTTTCTCATATATTCATTATTTGTATCAGCTTTTATTTAACATCCATATTGGAACAAATAAATAAGAAGATCTTATCTTGTGAAGGAAAGGTGAGTAAAATTATTCACATTGTTGGTACTCATAGAATTAAAATTATTTATTGTTAAAATAAACATATCATAACACTTTATTAGTCAAGTGGTTAGTATGAACGGCTGCAGTTTCAGGGGTCCTAGGTTTAAGTAGTCGGTCGGGTAAATTATAGTTACTTGGATTTTCTGTCAAGAAATTTTTATTTGGTGGTTTTTTACCCCCGTGCCTCGAAGAGTTTGTTGTGTCTCATCTCTTACCGTTTGTATCGAATTGTTAACCCACCGGAGCTTAATAATAATTGGGCGAATTTCAACTAGTAGTAGGTAAATATTTAGTTACCTGAATATTATATTGAGTAAATAATATTCATTCAATATATATCCATTAGTCTATTGTTTGGGAAAAACTTAGAAAGTTGAATTAATTTTGATAAAAAAATATTAGTATTGATCCTATTGATATAAATCTTAAATTTATTTAATATTATTAATTTGAAAGTTTGTGAACATAGATATTTTTTGAACAAAATTTTAAATCTGACGTTATCAATAAATGGTAAAGCTTGTTTTAGAAGCCGCATGCAAAAATATGTTGTATGAAGTATAAGCTAAGCAGTTAATGTTTTTTTTAATTTTTCAGTATATGCCCGCTTCCTATTGGCGGACATTACGTGAAGATTATAATAGAGCTACGCGATTGGTCCGTACTTTCGACGACGTTATAAACAGCATTGTATTTCTTGCGTTCGCTAGTAACCTCTTATTTATTTGTCTTAAAATTTACCATGTAGTATGGTAAGTACAGATAAAAAAAAACTATAAGCATTTCTATAATATAATATAATATTCGTGCATTAATTTAGTACGCTATGAATTTGGTTGGACATTTTGCTCTTTTAATATATTTATACATACATAATACATATGTGAAGAGAGAGTACAGAGAATGAAATTAAAAATATTCACAAAACTTATTCTATGTTAGTAGTTTTTTTTTAAAAAACTTTCTGTAAGCCGATTTTTTAATGAATAAATAATAATCGAAGTCGCTGCCAGCCGACAATATTTTAAGGTATGAATATCTCATAGGTACTCGTAAATATGTGTTTTACGTATCGAAATATATTAGATTTGCTTTGCATGGGCTGGCACCGACTTCGAAAATATCTGATTAGGTATCTATTCTAAATGAAAACCTCCGTTTAGTTATTTTTTACATTTTAGTGCTTGGAAGTCGGTTTTTATTTTTTGTTAAAAAGTTTTTATTTTAGTATAGAAGACATGTATTTTTGCGTAATTTTTATTTTTATTTTTTAGTCTTTTTGATAATAAGCGACACTTTAGTTTGGAGGACATTACATATAATAAATGGTCAATTATTTTTTTACTGTTTTGCAAAAATAATTTATTCAATTTTAAAATATTTAATATTATAATGTTTAATAATATAATGAAATAAATATTTATTCGCAAATTGTTCCAGTGAAGTTAGGTTTGTTGAACATCAAATCTGTTACAACGAACCGTCAAGGTATGCTTTATTTAAGTTTCCTATAAATTCACACCGTGTTTTGTTAAGTTAATAAATCTCTTAATAATCTGTTTCATTGGTCTAGTGGCCATCATGTATGGTTGTATATCCGGAGGTCCTCGGTTCGTGTCTCGGGATAAGCTAATTAATTATAGTTACTGGGTTTTTCTCTTAAGAAATTCTCACTGACAAACTGAAGTTGCAAAGTTGGCCGTATTACTCCCTTGTAGACTTACACACTTGTTATATGTATAGATAAGATTTTAAATAATTTTATACATTTAGATAGTCTAATTTATAAATTATGTTAGTTTCTTATTATAAATCTTATTTATTTTACTTCTAATTCGTTCTTCTTACATGCATACATCAGTAAGCACTTATATATGAGAAAAATAAATAGATTTGGCTCACCAACGACCTTTAATACACAAACCCGAAGAACATTCTTTTAACTAGATATCAATAAAAAATATTTCTTTCAGAATATTGAGTGCTTATGAGTATGATATTTATCATCTTTTTTCTTTGGGATTTCTTATCATACGGTCATTCTTAGTTTCAATAATAGCCGCTAGAGTGCATTCTGCGTCTTTGATAGCGGCTCCATCACTTTACAATGTCCCATCGCCTTCTTATTGTACAGAAGTAAGTATCCAGAAATTATCTTAATCTTATTTTTTTTTAAACAAAAAAAAAATTATAGGGCTATATAAAACACGAAAAAAATATATGGTAAAAACGTGTTAATTATGGTTGTATGAACAAAATACTTCATTATTACACTTATTATATTCCAGATATCTTTAGTCTTAACTTAGCTTTAAACTCTGCATGTTTGGTCTAAAAATTCAAAAAAAGCTCACTCGCACAAAGCGACTGCGAGTAAGATCTTAGGGCCTTCGCACACTACGTTTTATAAACGCACCAAAAACGGGCGTATCACGAACATATCTGATCTACGCATGTTTTGCGCTGATAGACTTTAAAAGTGCATATTGCTAGTTGATAATGCGTTCACTGCACGTCAAACGGGCGCTAAGCGCGCGTCGACAGCGCGTTGAAAATGTCATTGTGTGTATATATAGCCTTAGCAGCAGTGACTAATTCTTATTTACATGATAAGACTAGAGGTCTAAAGGATATATCGGTAACTTAACACCTTAGTGCACTATAATCCTAATATTTTCTCTTTGTTTAAGGTTCCTCTATCATATATATACATACATATATACATATATGTATACGCCCTTGCTTTTAAAAATAATCAAAGGTGGCTATTGCTAGACAATAATTCGAACCCAAACCAATCATAATGTATGATCAATCTTTCTCGTGTCTTCTCCATTCTACGTGATATTGGCGAAGAAATCTGTGCTTAACTAGCACGCTTGGAAGTCATTAACAAAATAATTTAATTAAATAAAAATCTATATATTTTTTACATGTTTTAGGTACAACGATTTATAGAGCAATTACATGGTGATACTGTGGCTCTCACTGGATTAAATTTCTTTTATGTTACTAAAGAATTGGTTTTGTCCGTGAGTATTTATTACATATGCATCTCAAATGTATAGTTTATATTATATACTTGCGACTTGCCTTCCTAGGTAGGCGGATTTTGTTCACAATTTTTTTTTGCGCGGAACCCTGACTTTTTTTCTAAAATCAAAGTAGCCTAAGTTACTCCTTACAACATTAGCTATCTGCCAGTGTAAGTCCCGTTAAAATCAATTCATCCGTTTCGAAGATCAGCCGAAACAAACAGACAGACAAACAAAAATTTTAAATATTGTTTTTTTCTTATTAGTATCGTATACACTTTCATATGCATTTAGTTAAAAGCTGTCATTTTGACATTACAAGCAGACACTTCAATTTTATTTATCTGTATAGATCTGCAGGTATTTACAATGCTTGAGACGCTCGTTATGAAACTGAGCCTTGACATTGACTTTGAAAGTCAGACAGGTTCTCATGAAAAGTAAATTCTATATCTGTATTAACTATTGCTTTACTTCTCTAACTAGAAACCTTCTAAGTTTTGCCTCTACATATCTTCTAAGTTTTTGTAATATACTTAGATACATTCGTAGAAATAGTACTTTGTGACATTTTCCAACACGTAAATGTTTTAAAAATATTTTTTCTTTACCTTAAGGCATATCATGTTGAAAATGATTCACGCGTAAAAATATCAACCCGGGATTTAAATCCGCTTCACTTGATTTAATAATATTAAATTATCTATACATATAATAAAATTCTGAGTCGAATCTGTACATTAAATAGTTTTTTGGAAAATCTTATTAAAATAATTATTCTTATCGATACAGTGGCCGAATGTATGGTTTTTAGAATTTTTGTCTGACTGTATGTCTGAGAAAGCGTCAAGAGAAAACCACTTGACGGATTTTGATGAAATTTGGTATGATGATAGCTGGTAATCGATTATGGAGCGAGAGTGAGTCGTTAGTAATAATTTAAAGTTATAATGTTACATACCTATATTTTTACCCACGACGGAACGACCCATCACTATTTTAAATTTCATCGTAAATAAAAATAAGTATCATCATCAAATTCTAAAGGTCCCCACTATAGGGGCACGGCCTACCCATTATGGGTACATAAGTATAGCGCTAAAAAATCTCAAATTATTCACGTTACTATAAAACTGCAAAATTAGTTCATAATGGCAGCCCCCGACGGATATGCTTGAGTTTATCTCGCGTTACATTTATTTTTTAAGTCGAGGGTTTTTTTAATATATCCTTTTTCAATTACTTTTTAACCGTCGTGGGTTTTTTTCAAAATTTTTAATTTTCTTTTTATATTATTCCAGGTCGTGGGAACCATTGTGACATATGAGCTTGTGCTATTTCAATTTCATGATGATGAAACGAAATAAATATTGTCTTTTAAGCAAAGTATAAATTTGATAGATTTTTTTTAACTATATGTGTGTATATTATTAAAATCAGCAATAGAGTCTTGTGCACATTTTATCTTGCTACACTAATTTAAGTTACATTTACTAATAAACAAAAATATATTCGTATTGTTCCATTGAATTTTCCTAATGCCTTCTATTATTAATTAAAAAACATTAAAAGTTAACTTTTGTTTGTTCAAATGAGTTGCACCACTTCCGTAGTTATTTCAAAAGATGCGAAATTTTTAACACATTTTTTTTCATTGATTTTTCAGCAGGATCAATGCATTAACAGTTTTAACGGCATTCTATTACGTTGCTTTGTTTCTATAATGTTTATAGAACTAAATACTCTTAATTCGACTTCAGCTTTTGAATAGTAAGGTTTTATACTTAAATAAATATTATTATTTTTCAAGTCGGTGAAAAACGTACGACTCGAACCCAGGACCTCCGAGTGTGCAGCCGTACATGCTAACCAATACACCAACGAGGCAGTTAACGGACGAAATTGTAATATAGTGACGAATGAATATATATAAAACTAGCGACTCAACTCCGCTCCGCTCGTGTTCGTCCCTACCTACGTTTTTACGTTTAGTATAGATTTCTCAGAAATGAGACATTTTCCCGCAGTAAAGAGTATCCTACATATTGACCCGGATAATAAGCTATCATCATACCAAATTTCATCAAAATCCCTCCAGTGGTTTTTCCGTGATGTGGTAACAGACAGACAGACAAAAATTCTAAAAACAATAGATTCAGCCTCTGTATCGATAATAATGTCTATTTCAATAAGATTTTCCAAAAAATATTTAATGTACAGATTCGGCTTAGTTACAATTTTATTATACGTATAGATAAGTATTGATTATTTTTTTCAACTCGATGAAAAACGTACCTATTTTACAGGTTAAATGATGAAATTATAATATAGTGATAAATAAATATATAAAAAATGAATAATGTGATGAATGTAATAATCGAAACTTAATGAAAATGTTAAGTATTAGTTCACGTATCATAACACTCTCAAAAAAACACGATTTAAAGTTACTTCATGATTTGTAATTCTGTTAACATCTGTATTTTTTTCCGAGAGTACAAAAAACACAAAAATATAGCTAGTTATTGTAAAAGTTAAGTCTTATAATAACTCGCTGCATTTTTGTATCTTTGAACCCGGACAATGATTATTTAAGGATTGGACATACTTTAACATTCAATCAAACGATCAAAGTTGTTAGACAAATAAGGATGACTTTTCTTCGGGAGCGATGCTATATATTAATTAAAAGCTATTATTTTAAAATAATAAACCAATTCATATATTTTTTTTATTCATGTAACTAATTTACAGTTATTTATACATTCATTTTTATAATTCATGCGATCAAACATAAGAAAACTATATCCACTACGTTACATTAAACGTCTAGAATATTACAAATACGGTATACAAATTAAAGCTAAAATATAGATTTAGCTAAAATGACTTCGTTACTTAAAAATACATATAAATTTTATAGGAACATATAAAAATGTTTAACCCTATTGAACTCGTTTGGAATATACGCGAATAAAACGCGTATGTATTGAAAATGCAAAATTTATTATAGAAACCCAGAACCCAGTAGAAATTAAATTTAGTTTCCGTCTGTTAGAACAACGAAGGCTTCATGTATCTGATCACAGCAAGTAATCTTTGGAGCTCAGGAACAACACATTGCTTGTGCAACGTATGGTTAATTAAAATTTAATCTTTCACAGCTTTATTGAGAATTCCTTTTAGATAATAGTTAACGATTCGATTACAGGTACTTTAAATGTAAGTAAATAGTTATGTGATTGTTTTTTATAGAAGAAATGAAGTAGAAAGGTATAAGATTAAAAACAATCTTGTAAGTATTATAAATAAAAAAATTACAGAAAGGGGTGAATAGGTTAGTAATATAATAATCCGAGTAAATATTTCTCTAAATATTGTAGATTTTTGATACAAAATATGTGATGAGAGAAGTAAATCTAAGAGAAAATTTAATCTTCCTTGCCATGCTGAAATTCTTAGGGTATTGCAATGGCTTTGCAGCCCAGAGGGATTGAAACATTCAATTTAGTCGGCATTCACATATATTCTAACTCAATATTAAATTTCTAAAAAAAATTATCAAAACGACATCTATAATACGTGTACGCTTATCTTAAAACCCCTTTTGCATTTCATAGGCTATCTATTAATGAAGGTATCCAGCAGTACACTAGGAATAGGGAATATGCGTGTGAATTAAATAAAAGTGAATAATTTTTTTTATAATCTTTATTGCTTCTGAATTAACCCTATATTGCTATTTTTAAAGTAATTTCTTTTTGATAAAAAAAATAATTATTAAAAAGTGCAAATATAGGTGGGAAATTCAAAGTAGTTGAAAATTTTGACGCTAAAAATTGCGTTGTCGTTTTTCTGGGTATGATATACTGTGACGTCACGCCAAGCGCGCGAATGAGCTGGCGTTTAAAATATCCGTATCGGTATGATATTTAAAAAAAATTTAATACTAAATTTTTGTTTTTCGGAGCTGGATATTTGTTTTACAATTACGATTTAAGCTATTGTATAAAAAATAAAAAAATCACGCATATTCCCTATTGTAGGAGCGAAAAAATTATACATAAACTAATAACTAAACGCGGGCAGAGCTGCTAGTGCTAAAGTGGTATACAGTGGACTCTGATACACCTAGGGTCAGGTGTTCAATTTCAACTATTTTTTCATCATTTAGTTTTATTTACAGAATGCTATCTTCTTTTCTATGTGCCAAAAATCTTTTTTTTTTAAATCTTTAAAAAGTCGGTGTGCTTTGATTTGTATCAGCTGGCACCGATTTCGAAAATATCTGATTTTATATCTATGGTAAATAAAAACTACTAATAAGTTATTTTTTACTTTTTATCATTTTGTTTAAATCGGTTTTTATTTTTTTTTAAATTGTGAAGCCTGAATCTTTGTGAGTACTTTCTATTCAAATATTTATTCCGGTCTTATTAAGTGAGTGTAGCATTGTGTGTTCTGACGTACAGTATCTTAATATAAATTGTTGCTCTACTGCTGTAACATGAATACCATTTGTATGGTATGTCCGAGGGTTAGATAATAATAAATCCAAAGAGAATAAAATTTACCTACATAATACTATTCTACATTTACTCGAATATTTGATATTTTAAATGAAACAAAGTATCTGTTCGAGGTAGAGACTGAGTGACCAATGTTTGCTGTAAAGCATTCGAAACGTCGAACAAAAATTTTTAATAAAATCATGACAAGATCCGAAAAAATAGTTTTTTATAAAAGGTTAAAATATATTTAAAACTATACAAAATTACTATACCAACAAGACTAGAGTAAATTTTTTTTCATGTTTTTGGTGAGTCCATCATATGAATAAATATTAATATCTATATAGGTACTACAATAATTGTCAATTATAAAAATTTATATAAATAATACTTTATGCAATTTGATATAATACTAGAATCCTTAATTAATTTCGCTTAAGGGTAAACAAATATCGCATATATAGGTTCACAGCATCTCTCTAAGAGTCTTATAAAAAAAATAGCCTATGTCGCTTAATTCATGGACTATATGTTTACAAATATCTCGAACAGTTGGTCCGTTGCTGTATGATAAAAAGACACATAAATAAAATTTAGCAAGGAAAGTAATCATTACACCAGAATTATAATATAGGATCTCATAGAGACGTAAGATAGCAGGTCTCCACCATCTTCCTTTTTGTTTTTTTTTATGTTGATAAATGTATTTGGACATACCACATGCATTTATACTGGTGGTTATGTGGAACTCAGCAGCAAAGCCAGTACTACCCACTCAACCCCAACGGAGCCTCCCCCGTCTTAATGGGTCGTCGCAGTATCACTTACGAACCACGACACCCCGACGGCACGTCTACCGAAGCAGATCACAACAACTCTATGGGGTGGTTCCAACAATACACTATGCTATCAGAGAAGTACTACGAGCAACCCGCTTGGTACACCGTCCACAGAGGTGGGCTGTGTCGCTAAAAACTCTCCCCCCCCACCTCCTTCCTCCCCCCACCACACCACTCTCCACCTCGATAAGAAGTATACCCATTGGAGGTGATCACCATCTTCTTAACTTAAGGCCATTCAAAGGTTTTCTTACGAAAATACCGCACTAACAATAGCACTCAAACCCAGAACCCGCTATATCTGTGGCTATTAATACTAGCCAGTACCAACGAGGAATATACTATGACGGGTGAAATTAATAACATAAGTCTAACCAAATTGAGTAGTTTTTGTTATTAAAAGGTGTTTTCTTTCAATACACAGCTATATTTGTGTATAGAACAAACTGTACAAACTTCAAGCAACCGTCCAACTTTTCTTATATGAATTGCTTGGAACTTTACATTGTTCTGTACACGGTAAAGTCGAAATATTTTTTTTTTATATTTGTTTTCTTTGTATCTAAAAGTAATTTGAGTAAATATATAATATTTTACTAAAAAAGCATGTTTGGTAATATTTTTTGATTTGAATAAACTCTTTTTTTCGAGGATAATATAATGTCAGCATTTTTTTAACAATCCTAAGTTTTTTTTGTATGAAGATAAAATATACGGCTGTGGATCTTATGTAATTGAGTTCAAAACTCTCGCAAAAAGTATCGCTTACGCATTTAACTACAACACCCCGACGGCTGGTCTACCGAGGCAGACCAAAACAACTAAGGGGTTGCTCCAATGCAACGGTCCAATCTGCTATCAGAGAAGTATCATACACAACCCGCATGTTTGAATTATTTACAATTTTGCACATCTAAGAGAACTTTGAAAAGGTAAGTAAAATGGTTACGTGGTATAAATTTAGTTTTCACCTCCCACTTGTATGGACTGCCATCCTATTTTGTTTATTTTTTGTAATTTTACCACCCAATTATCTAGCGGTTCTCGTGCCATGCTATATACTTTTTTCGCGATACCTATAGCTTTAACAGTCTCCGATTAATATGGCTGTGATATACAGATAGACGAATATGATAAAATTATAAGTGTTTCATTTTCGCCTTTAGACTACGAGTACAGATCCCTATAAATGACATTGTATTGCATAACTATAAACTGGTGATTTCTATTTGAGCGAGAAATTCAAATCAATATATTCGAGTAAGAATATCTATTTTAAAATTTCTATATAAGTTTATTCATACTATAATATAGTATAAACTAGCGACTCACCCTCGCTCCGCTCGGGTACGTCCCTAGTTACGTTTTAATGTTTAGTAAAGATTTCTCAAATGTTGACCGGGTTAACCAGCTATCACCATACAAAATTTTATCAAAATCCCTCTAGTGGTTTTTCTGTGATGCGGTAGCAGACAGACAGACAAAAATTGTAAAAACTATAGATTCGGCCTCTGTATCGATAATAATGTTATTTCAATAAGATTTTCTAAAAAATATTTAATGTACAGATTCGGCTTGGTTACAATTTTATTATATGTATAGATGTAATTAATATTTATGAATGAAATTGATAACGAGTTTAGTTGAGCTTTAGTTTGCATAAGCTGCGTTTTATCAGTAAGCCTGTGTTAATTATGTAGGCAGTATGTAAACAGGTTATGTTAGTTTCTACGTACTGTTAATAAGGGAGTAGTGAATACGTTAAATATAGATTAACTAGGACATTTAACTGTTGGGGTTAAACTTTAACGAGCGTTTGTTGTAGAAACATTTCAGTTAAGATGTATTTTGTGAGTGCAGTTTGTGAATTGTGAGTTTGTGACGTTGTAGGGGGTAATCTCTGTGTCTACTGAACCGATTTAGATGAAATTTTGTGAGAAGATAGTTTGAGACCCTGGGAAGGATATAGAATACTTTTTATCCCGGAAATTTCATAGGTGAAAATGAAGATAAAAGTTTGCATGGGGAATCAAGCTAGAGACGAACCCAAGCGAAGCGAGGGTGAGTCGCTATTACATATAATAAAATTGTGACCAAGCCAAATCTGTACATATTTTTTTAACCTTATTGAAATAGGCATTATCTAGAGGTTTTAGAATTTTTGTCTGAATCTATAGTTTTTAGAATTTTTGTCTGTTTGTCTGTCTGTCTGTTAAAGCATCACGAGAAAACCACTAGTCAGATTTTGATGAAATTTGGTACGACGATAACTGATTATCCGGGTCAACATGTAGGATACTTTTTACTGCGGGAAAATACTTTATTTCTAAAAATCTATACTAACTATTAAAACGTTCCTAGAGTGGAGCGAGGGTATGTCGCTAATAATTCAATGAATTATACAAGCCTAGTAATAAAATACTTTAATTATAATGAACTTTATATGTAATAACGTGGTTAGGTACTTTTTAATTCTAAAAGATATAATCAATAGGTTATTTGTTTACTAAGAAAATAATTGGTCGGTGATATACATCAGTTGTTGAGTACAGTCATTGACGGAATCACGCAAAGTTTAGTAGAATTTTTTGTATCGAGTCATTTACCGATGCCTTTGATGCCTTAGATTAAAATAGAAGTGATATAAAACTATACTAATATCATAAAAAGGTAAAGTTTATGAGTTTGTGAGGTTGTGGGAGTTAATCCCTGGATCTACTGAACCGATTTAGATGAAAAATGGTAAAAAGATCGTTTGAGACCTTGGGAAAGACATAGTATACTTTTTAGCCCGGAAACAGCGTTTAACTATATATGAAATTATATACGGTACTTATAAGAAAAATACTTTTTTTATTTTTGTCTGTCTGTTTGTTCCGGATAATCTCTGAAACTGCTGGACTGATTTTGACGGGACTTTCATTGGAAGATAGCTGATGCAATAGGGAGTAACATAGGCTACTTTTATTTTAAAAAAGAATTAGGGTTCCACTTAAAAAAATTAAAACGTACATAGGGATGAACCCGAGCAAAGCGAGGGTGAGTCGCTAGTACTATATAATATGAAACTACTTCATTGTAAACTTATTTTTGACCACGGCTTCCTATAGATAAGAGTAGGCTGTGTGCTTTTGTGGCATATAAGCTATCTTCATTTGAAATTAGAAAAAAAGTTTTCACGCCTTTAAACTGACTGTATTGTATGGGATTCGTTCGAAAGAATTATATGAGCTTAAATTGAAAAGTTATACTAATAGTGTAGCTCGTTGCTTTTATTAGAGATAGTATATAACAAGTATATAGTAGATAACAAACAGCTCTGTCAACTTCCTGAGTCCATCATCATATCGGTTCAATCCAAAAAAATATGATCTTTGTTTTGTTGTATTTGTCTTCACCCCGAATAGCACAATAACTATTAAAATATCGAAAAAAACACGAAAAAAATCTATTCCATACTAAGCGTGAAAACGTACCTAGGGACGAACTACCTGAGCGAAGCGACGGTGAGTCGCTAGTGTTAGTATAAAGTTCAGTAAAAGTGATAAAGTAAGCTTTCTAACATAAATCTGCAGCTTTTTAAAGCGGAATAATTATTAAAAAAACAAATAATAACAATAAAAGAATCCAAAAATATCTGATTAGCTTATTCACATGTTTCTTACTTTTCAGTGCCTTCGAGTTCATCCACATTTACTTTTAATTTGATTTTGTAATTACAGACAGACTTTTCAATTTTATTTACTAGAACAAATTCTATGATTCATGGCAGTATATACTGGACATTTATCAAAATTATCGCTAATGCTTAACTCAGAATGGTTCTAAAGAGCACTATTTTTATTTCTCAGTATAAAATACAACTAAAGCGTCGATAGTGTTTATTTTGTAAGTAATTATTTGTAAAACGTTTCGTCCTTACGTTCGATATGTCTAGTTGATTATATTAATAAAAACTAGCATTGCCCGCGGCTCCGCTCGCGTTCAGATGACCAAAAACCAAATTCTTAGGTTCTACATATTAGTTTACTCTTATATTTCAGTTTTCGATTTTTTTCTCAGAAATGAGATATTTTCTCGCGGTAAAAAGTATCCTATATGTTGACCAGGAGAACCAGCTATCATTATATTAAATTTCATCAAAATCCCTCCAGTGGTTTATCCGTGATGCAGTAACAGACAGACAGACAGACAGACAGACAGAAAGACAGACAGACGGACAGACAGACGGACAGACAGACGGACAGACAAAAATTCTAAAAACTATAGATTCGGCCTCTGTATCGATAATAATGTCTATTTCAATAAGATTTTCCAAAAAATATCTAATGTACAGATTCGGCTTAGTTACAATTTTATTATATGTATAGATGAACATGAAATATTATTATAGGATCAACAGTTTTTCTTTTAATATTTCATTGCCGCTTAATATCTTTAAGGTCACGTAACAAATATGTTGGTCAGGCGCTTTCTAAACCTACGTTGTTAGAGTCTTCATCTTTCTATCTTACATTTTAAAATATATCTTTTGAATCATATGTGTGTCGTAGTCGTATTTTTTTTGTAAATAATGTGTTATTATGTCGTATATCTGAGTAAATACTACAAAAATAGATTGTAGTAGATACTAATTGTAAATTAAAAAAATCTGAGATGATTTTATATATATATATATATATATATATCAGTACTTTATGAAAAATACGAAATAATTAGTGAACCAATCCAACTCTCACTTCACCTATTTTTCTATTTATTTTAGTCATCGACAGTCAAAAGAGAAAATATTAGTTTTCCTTAAGCTCGTATATGAATTATTAAATAATGGAAAAGATCTCAACTATAACTTAATATCTACATATGTTCATAAATACACGTAAAAAGAAAATTGACTATCCGTCATTCAATAAAACCACTGAAGTCGTGGCACTTGTTGTTTGGAAATGATATTTTTTAAAGTATAGTAAGTAAATAATTTTTAAATATTTTAATAAAATATGTCTATATTCATTTTGAAAAAAAAAAGTAAGAATTATCCAATATACCTACGAATAAGTAATGTGTTATTATTTATTCGTAGCCATATACATATTTTGTTAATGTTAAAGCAATGAAAAATATTTGACTCATCATTACCTACAAATTAATCAAGGGAAAAGGACTCAATGATTCTCTTGAAGGATGCTAAATTAACCATCATCCAGGTGGTACCAAAGCAAAGTATGGGGACGAAACACGTGAAAAATAAATATTTGGCCTTCTGGCTGCCTATCAATAGTGAGTATATTTATCATTTACATGTAACCAAATTATTACATCTAATACAGAACTTTTTCTATTCTGTTTACCAACCGATTTTTTTTTTGCTAAGTAGCTATTGAAGAGCTTTAGTGCTATATATATATATATTAAATATTTAGCTTTTTACTATCTATTCGGGTTTCTTCCTAGAAAGATAGTTTTATTTAAATTGTCAAATATTCGCGTAAATCTGACAGCATTATTTTTAGCTCTTGAATTAGATATGAATATCCTTTTAGTCTTTAAATATGGGATTTTGTGAAATTTCATGCATTTTTATGAGATTACTCGACTTGGCCGTAAAACCGTGCTTCCATATATTTAACAACAAAACCATTGTGTTTATGCGAAGGTAGTAAAAGTGGCGTACTATAAAAGTCACGTAATGTGTGTTTCAGAAAATAAAATAGGCGCAATGGGGCAGAAAGTTGAAAAATATGTCGCATCTTTTCAAGTGTGCTTGCGAACAACACTTGTGATTGGGCAGCTATTTTCACTTTTACCAGTAAATGGAGTGTGGAGCAAGAAGGCTTCTGACGTCAAGTACGTATCTGTTAGAATAAATTAATTGCTGAGATATAACTAAGTGCAAATCTAACTATTTCTAACTAAGCTGAGTTTGATAATTAAACTAAAATTGACTAAACTGATTTTGATGATAAAGTAATATTGATTCGTATGAAAACAAAAAAAATTTACAGATATATAGGTAATTGAGATTTAATATATCTGAGTAAAGTAAATATTGAAAAGTTCTTAAAAATAGAAAGAATAATTAAAATGTCAATTTGATGAATAGTATAAGATATAGAAAAGACTATTTTTCTTATAAATGATAATAATCGTCAATAAAATACAGTCGATCGCCATATCAATACTTTAATGTTTTAATTTGACTCTTTATACTTATTAAATCTTATTAGTATCAATATCAATCCATTCCCCAACAAACTCACAGACTGCCTAAAAACATATTTTATTTTATATACGTATCTTTATAAGTTAAAATAATATTTTCCAACAAAATTATAAATATTTTCGTCTAGATTCGTATGGGCGTCATGGAAGTGCACTTACTTATTCCTGTCGTTGCTGGGACAAATTTTTATAACCGTAATGTGCATCCATAAAGTTTTACATTCTACGTCGTCATTAAACGGAACAAGTATGTACTTATTTTTATCTTTCACATTTGCTTTAGTTTGTAACACTTGATACTAATTTTTCGCTTAAATAAGCAAAATGAGATAGTTTTATTTTTTATTAGCGACTTACGTTAAAGCAGTGGTAGCGCAGTAGGTAGTGGTATCCTAGCGATAACGCCCTGACTTGGGAAACCGAGTGAAGTGGGTTCTAATCCCGAGTCTCGCACCTCTGATATTTTTATATTCGCATCATTTCTAACATGATTACCACTTGTCTGGTGAAGGAAAACATGGTGGCGTGATGCACTTTGGCAATATCATCCAAAACTGTCCAGATTTACTCATTACCTTGTGACCCAAATTACAGATCTGTACTAACATACTAGTACAGATGCCACTTCCAATACAAAGAAATAGCGCTAATTCGGGCTAATAACGAAAAAACCACTGGACAGATTTGGATGAAATTTGGTATGATAATAGCTAGTTATCCGGGTCAACATATTGGATACTTTTTACTGCGGGAAAATATCCCATCTCTGAGCCAAACTTTAAAATAACTAGGGACAACAGAGCAAAGCACCCTAGTGAAGTGGAGGTAATTCACTAGTTTTAAATAATTATTAAGCTAATTAAACTTATAAATTATGCAACTACAATTATGTTAGCTGTCATCCGTTGATTATATTATGTTTCAACTACGATCTTATCTTGTTGGCGAAATAGTTTGTCTATGCAACGGAGATTTCAAAACTTAACTGCAACTTAAACTTCAACTTGGAATATACTCGTACTACAGTGCATTCTCATGTAGTAACTTATATGGTTTGCTTGCTTGCTAAAGTTGTTCTTAATATTGTAATCGGGTTAAATTGTATATGTCAACTAGAGAGTCACCCTCGTTCCGCTCGGGTTCATCCGTTCGACGTTTAGCTCAGAGATAAGATATTTTTCCGCAATAAAAAGTAACCGGATAACCAGCTATTATCATACCAAATTTCAATCAAATCTGTCCAGTGGTTTGGCCTAATGCGGTCACAGAGATATAGACAGACATACAGACAAAAACACAAAAATGAGAAATCCATATTAAACGTAAAAACGTAAGTAGTGACAAATCTGAGCGTAGCGAGGGTGAGTCCCTAGTTTTAAATAGAACTATTGGTTTGGATTTTCTGTGATGTATGTAACAACTTTATATGGAAAAGTGACGAAAAACCGGGAGGCTGAGGCAAATATTAAATAAAAAATAAAATTCAAACATTATAAAATAACGTTATTAGACCTTGTTTACTTTAACTTACTAATTACATATTTTATCAACAAGATCACTGTTTCCATTATTGTAAGTAATAAAAAAATTATCATTTTTAAAATTTAACTTTTTACAGTATTGCCCATTTCACATTCAAGCTTGTAAGATGATCTAAACTATTAATTAAAAAAAAAACTTTCTCGTAACTATGATTACTATAAAGCAAACGAAACATCGGAAAGCAAAAATTTCAGAATAATTTCAAATACTCGCGTAAATCTCAAAAAAAAGTGGGTTTTTAATATCATTAGTTATGTGTTTTTTTTCAGCTCCAATAATATTCTATAGTACAACTTGTGTAACGATGTTGCTATTTTTAAAAGTGGCGAGGATGTGGCCTACACTGGTGAAGGAAATCGCTCGTATCGAAGATTTAGATCCGTACCATAATAAAAGTCTCGTCAACAAGTGTAATGCTACGTGTGCTATTGTGTTAAGTTTGGCTTTATGTAAGACTTTACATTAATAATTAACCTTCTAATAGTTTAATTTAAAGTTTAAAAGCTAGAATTTCGTGTATTTTGTCTTAACACGGTTTATTTACTTAAGTAGTTTGTTATATAAAATTACTTAAAGAATTTATTTAATCAGAGAGTTACGCCCTACTCCCATTATGATACGCCCAGGCTACTCTAGTATCTTGCGAGTCCCGGAGACTAATAGCCGCGGAGTATCGCGGTTTCGGCCATAGTTTCGGCAGGTTTGCCGCTGAAACCGAAACCCGTTTTTTTTTACCGAAACTCGACCGAAACCGAACTTTCGGTCAGACACTAGTGCTCGCACACTACGCTATCGGTATCGTACGTGTCCGCGACCCGCTGCGTTGGTCGACCGTGCGTCGCGTCTCCTACGCATCTCGAAAAATTCGTCCGTTCATTAAAAAAGCACAAAACAAATGATGCATTTTGTTATTTTACAGTAGCAGTAATGTGCGAACGTCAAGTTGCCAACAAGTATTCACTAGTATGTGACTTGAGTATTGTATCCTATGTGTTTCGTAACGGGAGAAGGGCCTTAGTTCCATAGACCATTTGGCTTGATTCTATGTTTTTAGTTCGCTTTTTACGCAATATTTTATTTGAGCTAATCTACTTAAAATCATATTTGGCTATCACATTCTTACTATCTAGCTATATTTATATGTATTTTGAAAGAAAATGTAATTTTCAGTGGAGCATGTATTGTCATTACTATCAGCCATTGCTGGAACTATGGCGTGCATCTCAAATGAGCTTTCTTATCGGCATTTTGTCAAACATTTCTACCCATGGGTGTTTAATTTTTTACCATATACTTTCTGGCTGGGAATTTTAACGCAGGTATAAATCTTATTAACTTTATTAATAACAATAACGTCCTCCTAATTGTTTTTAGGGGGCGGTCAATCTCATTGAAACTAACCAACTACGCGGATATTATAATTATTTTTTTTAATTTAATCATTTATTTCAGGCAATATATACAAAACGATCTAATGCACAAGTGTGTGACACAAATGCATTTTCTATTTCTTTAACTCTTATATTTTAATACGATGAACTTGACACGGCTGATGAGAGATCAGGTATAGGTCCGACAACTTAAGGCGCTCTAACGGGCACGTTTTCGAGTTATTTACAAGAAAATTGCTCTCCGATGCTCGGTTGCTCCCAACACCGAGATGCTATTGAGATTTTCGTGACAAGAAAATATAGTAACTGTTTAGGACCGACCTGGGACTCGAACACAAGACCTCTAGATCTGCAGTTATATATTATGTTAGCCATTACATGAACAAAGCGTTTTACTGATATTATTAATGTAAAAATGAGTATGTCTGTGTTAATTACGTGAATTTAAAACATCCTATATTATTTATATCTACAAAGCGTTCCGTGATGGAATAATATGCTTTGCTTAGCAGTTATTTTTGACCCTAGATCTTATTCACCGGAACGAAACCCAAGTCTCATATTTTAAGCACTATTATGCCTACACTTACTAAATAATATCGTCGAAACAGTGGTTTTATGTTCAACATATCTTTGACAGGGAACAGTGTCAAGCACTACAATCGACATCTTTGACCTACATTCTCGTTTGATGTTTGCCTGAATAAGATCCAATATAAATGTTTCTGGTATACTTCAGAATTTTTGACCGATTTTAAAAAGGAAGAGGGACTCCTTTTGTTTATTTATTTTCGTATGATACGCGTTATCTCATCTAGTATAAACTGATTTTCAAGACCAGGGCTCAAGGGCCCAAAAAAATTAAAGAAAAATTCCACCTCTACAAGGTTATTTAATTATTGAAGTGATATAAACAGTGTATATGTTTATCTTAATTTCATTATTGCTAGCCATCTAGGTGCTTTTAGTGATAGTACAACTCAACAAGTGTTTTTTTTCTAAATTTAATTAAAATTATTATGCTTTCTCACAGTTAACACTTTTTTATTACAATAAAAAAAAAGCCTATAGCACTCAGTGGTAATGTCTATTAATGAAAGAATTTTCAGATTCGGATCAGTAGTTTCAGAGATTACCCCCATACAAAATTAAATACTTCACCTTTTATTATGCTTATCTACGTAGATAACTTGAAGCTGAATTGGTTATATGATTTGTCGTAAAATTTTTGTGAAAGTCGCGTCTTTTTGTTAATTATATATCGCTTTTGTTAACATTGTTATGACAAAAAGTTTGCTGTCAACCTCCACTTGTATTTCAACCAGACTGGAACAATGAATTTGTATAATTAATACAAAGATTTGTTTCGCATGAAAATCGAATGTTCAATAATTTACTGTATTCAAATGTTTACTATTAGTATGTCAGGAAATGCATACCACCTGCAATGCAAACATGTGATTAAGTGAGGGTCACCGGCAAAGCCAGTACTACACTCTAAAACCCAACGGGACCTCCACCGTCTTAATGAGGCACTGCAGGATCGCTTACGCATTCAACTACGACGTCCTGACGACAGGTCTGCCAAAGCAGACCACAAAAACCATGAGGTTGCTCCCATGGTCCTGCCTGCCCTAGGCTGCTATCGGAGAAGTACCAGGAGCAACCTCCATAGCACACCACCCACCGAGGTGGGCAATAACTTAAGTTAAGAATATGTTATAATAGAAATTATAGTGTTAAGATGAATGTTTTACAAGTCTTTTTTTCCTGGAAATATAAAGTAGTATAACTAACTTTCAGAAGTTCCATTCACCAATTTACGATAAAACCTATGACCGCTTAAAATATATTCAAACTATTTATTCACTATATTTTATGATGAATCGTTGTTTCAGTTCCTTCACTTCCAGTCAACGTTTATTTGGAACTTTTCGGACCTGTTCGTGATATGCATGAGTTATTATTTAACAGCGCGACTGGATCACGTTAACCAAAAACTATTGAATGCACAAGGAAAAGTAAGTACCTACACGTATAAGTCAAATTTACATAATTTACATTTCATAACTAAATTTATCTATGATAAATCTAATTTCGTAAAACTTATACAAAAAGTTTTACATTTTAAATAAAACACTTTTTTATCGTCTTTATTTTTATTTTTGATCACGAAAAAGACCTTTAAGACATAGGGTTGTCTCTAACGTGATCGCTGTAAGGTATTCGAAACATCGGTTATCAAAAATTAAAAATAAACCGTGATATATATATATATATATATATATATATATATATATATATATATATATATATATATATATATATATATATATATATATATATATATATATATATATTAAAAGTAGCCAAACTCGTTGCAGTAGCCATGTCAATTGTTTCATGATTTCTAAATTGTTATTAAATAAACAAATAGACACAGCCTAGATATTTGTGATCTAGATAGATATTTGTGACATGAGTTTCGCGTTGTTTAACATTTGTATACCATTTTCAGTATTTACCTGAAGTATTTTGGAGAACAACACGCGAAGATTACGGACGAGCTGTGCAGCTAGTTCGAAGAGTGGACGAAGTTATCAGTGGAATTATTTTCATATCTTTTGCAAATAACCTTTTCTTCATTTGTCTTCAACTATTTAATACTTTGGAGTAAGAAAGTATTACGTTTTATTTTTAATATACATACATATACCATCTCAAAGAATCTCATTTTTATTTGATGGTACTTCATTTCATATCTTATAAGACAGCATTTATAGCCCAGTGATAACACCCACGTATGTAGTTGGGAAACAAAGAAAGCGGGTTCAAACCCACAGTCTCGTACCTCTATTATTCTCATGTGCAAATTATTTTCAATATGATCACCGCTTGCTTTACGGAAAATGAAAACATAGTGAGAAAATCCGTTTGTCTATGAGAACTGAATAAGTTTTCGAAAGATCTTTGTAGTCCGCCATCCCGTACATGGCTAACGTGGTGGACTATGGCCTGATCCCCCTCGCATTGAAAGGAGATACATTCTAGCAGTAAGACGATAAAAATGGTTATATATGTACATTCGGTAATATCATCGGTCCAACTAGATGGGTGACCATTTTGTGTGATAGTTGAGCATTTTCTTGTTTTGAAGACATATATTGGTATAAATTCTTATTTATTGGACCATGTTAGAAGCGCTTGTAGGCCTTATATTTATTTTAAACGTTAATGAATAGAAAGGTTTTGATGAAAATAAATAACATAAAAGTGCAGATACATGGGTTTTAATAAAAGTATATATAATAATTATTATTATAATAATAGTAATGAAAAAAGATGGAGAAAATCCGAAGATTGGCAATTCTTTTCAAATGAATAATGTTTCTTTACAGCTTTTAGCTATTTGATGATTAAAATAAAATATTGTGGGAAATTTTACAGGTGCGTGTGGATTTGAATATATAGGAATGAATTTAATATAAAAGTTCAATCATGGCGCAAAAATATGATTAGGGCTGGATAGGAAAGTACATTGGTATATTGTATGTTATATATTTAGTATATCTACCTAGATAAAAGGTTCATCTTCAGGTCATGGCAAATATTTGTTATAATCTTATCCACTTTGATTGATGTAACGGGCGATGTAGACAAAACCTGTGCTGGCATAGGGACTGTATCATCGTAAAAAAAATTGAGAAATTATTATAATTTTATGAAAAATAATATTTTAAGTTATTTATAATATATTATATTAGATAATTTTTGACGCTAAGTATGGAAAAAACATTATTCTTTTAAATCATTTTCTCGAGAATTTTTCTGATGTTTTAATAGTTATTCTGCTATTCGGACTAAAGATAAATCCAACAATACAAAAATCATAAAAATCGGTCCAGCAGTTTTTGAGTTATAAGTGTTGTAACAAACCCGACTTTGTTTTATATATATATATATATATATTATATTATATATATATATATATATATATATATATATATATATATATATATATATTAATGATGTAATACTCCTTGAAAAACGTTTAAATAGAAATATAAAACTCATCTTTTTAAGTTTAATTTTAGAGATGGAATCAAAGGACAAGCTGAATGTGACAATAGAGAAAAAGGGTAAGCTTATAAGAAAATTGTTTACTTATAATTCTTGTATTAGCTTAGAAGTTACTTTTAGTTGATTGATAAAAATAGACTGAGAAAGAAAAGGCGGATATATAAAAAAATATGGCATCAATTTTTTTGTGGGACCATATGGGGAAATTAACTTATCTAAATGTGCTTCCTAGAAAGATCTATTGACTACAAAAGTTTAAGAAAACTTAATAAATAATCTTAATTTTTTTACAGGAAAACTAACCTACTTGGTGGTTACGAAGCGGCTCTATATTTTCTTTTTTCGCTATTTTACCTGATTGCTAGATCAGTTTCAGTATCACTGATTGCATCACAAGTAAATACAGCATCAACTGTGCCTGCACCCGTCTTGTATGACGTGCCATCTCCTGTGTATTGTGTAGAGGTACTTGAATATATTTTCAACAAACTAATTGTTATATGATTTTATAACGAAATTGAAATATGATCAAAATAAAAAAATATAAACTTTATTTTCTAACATATCTTTTGAAAACGACTAATACGAATGACGACACGTTTGGCTCAGTTTGTAGTGACCCTACTTGATGTGCCAGCGGTCGCGGGTTCGAGTCCCGCTGGGGGCATTCATTTGTGTGATGACGAATGTTTGCACTCCAGTCATGGGTGTTTATATTTATAATACGTATATATTTAAAGTTACATATGTGTAGCGTATCAACTATCTGGTATCCATAACACAAGCCTCGTAGCTTACCATGGAACTAGATGGCGCTGTGTGTTGATATCCCAACATATTTATTTATTTATTTATACAATTTCAATGATATTTATTACCAGTGGATCTACCAGTAAGGTATAATTGTCATAGTTCATCAAAATCTGTTTAGTAGTTTATGCGTGAAAAGGTCCCAAGCTGACAGACAGTTATTTAAACCATAAATATGTTTATTTTGCTTTCGATAAATTAAAATGTACCCGAAATAAGGAAACGCAATATTTAGTTCCATTCTTTATTCAAAAATCCAAAACTTATGTTAAGAACATAAATTTTCTTCATAGACGATATTAACTAACTAAGACACTAAAGTTTAGTGGTAAAGTTTTATAAAATTCAGTAAAATAGTATCCAGGATATGATAAAATAAAAGCACTAAAAGTAATAACTATTTTTTAAATCTTTATTTTTCTCGTGTTTAACAGAAATAGAGAAAATGCTAGTTATACATTTTTGACTAATTAATAGTAAAACTAAGTAGATTTTAATCCAAATCAATTCTAAACAATAACTAATCGTTACAGGTTCAAAGGTTTTTGGATCAGGTGAACGGAGATAAAGTGGCATTAAGTGGGTTACAGTTCTTCAGTATTACTAAAGGATTATTGTTGACAGTAAGTACTCTAACACTCTTAAAGCTCTGTGGTAGACTAAAGTAGAATCAGTCGACTTTACGTAGGTAATGGCACTGAGTATTATAACGTAAAAATTCTCGCATTGGGATGGAAATATTTCGTTAGTGTCACTCGTGAAGAAAATGTTAGCTTGGTTTAAGACTTTTGAAGGTTTCACACACACCTGGTTGGGACCAGTTAGATAACTTTACGTAATAAACTCTTTATTCTAAGCTTTATTAAGCTTCTTACTAGAGATTATAACTCAAAAATTAAGAAACTTCATTAATATGAAAAGCGTTTTATGAAAGTTTCATACTTTCCAATCTTTATTTATATTATTACTCCCAAGCTCTCATTTGTTCGGTTTTTATTGTTCAAAAAATATTTAAGATTTTTTCAAAATTCTTAGATTATAATACATAAATCGAAACGGTCAGTACTTATTCTGGTTTCACTTTTACGCAACTTCATAGTAAATACTGAGTAGTATATCCCTTGTAATTTTAATTACAAACATAACAAAACGATTTATAAAATTCTACTTGCTCTTTTTAAGAGGATAAATTTAACAAAGTTCATTTTTACGTCACCTGAAAGAAATCCTGTTATAATGCTGCGAAAAGTTAAAAGTGTAATATCAAATCTGATAGTCTAAGATTCCGACGTATATGGTGGACCCCTCTTTTTTCCAGACGAAATATATTTTTGAAATCATATAATATATTAAAAAAACGACCCAGCGGGGTTGTCACCAAAAATTTGCTCTAGGCTATTTTTTACTAAAAAATCTTCAGTCTGGACATGTTTTGGTATGACAACCCTATATCATTAAATTTGTTATAAAATTATCTACATTCTGATGCTTGGTTCGTTCCGAAAAAGATACGAGCAATTAACTACTTCAATTTACCTGTTTATACTTGGATATCAGGTAATGTGTTCGAAAAAGGCCGCCAAATGTGCAGTATGATAGCATTTTTTTACAAGTCTTTTACTTTCGATTGATACTAATTTGTCATGGGAAAAGAGTTCTTAAAAAAATACAATATATTAAAAGTAGCCTGGAGCAAATTTTTGGTAGCAACCTTCCTTGGCCGTGTTTCACTGTTTGTTAATATGTTTTATGGTTTAACAAAATATTTCGTCTGGAAAAAGAGTGACGGGTCCACCACGTAGATCAAGATCTCCTACTATGAGTGCCAGATCTTAGAAGAGTCAATTAACAGAAACGACCAACTAATTCTTAAGTATTTTCATTCGTTAGTTCTTACTTAATAAACGTTTTTAACTTTAGATTTTTTAAACTGTCTTTATAGATTTATTTTATAAAGGAAGTCAAATCAATGGCTTTAAAGTTTTCTTCAAGCATTTTGTTTAATCATGGCTTATTCGAGAATTACTAGAAACAAATATATAATAATAATATTATAAATATGAAAGTTTAGATGGATGTTTGAATATTTGTTACTCAATAACGCCAGAACGGCTAAACGGATCTAAATAAAATTTGACACAGAGATAGATTATAGTCTGGAATAGCACATAAGCTACTTTTTATCACAGAAAAATATACGGTTCCTGTGGGATAGATTTGCGAAGCGAAGAATAAGAATAAGAAGAAATTTGCTCTTAAGGCTTTTTTTGTAACTGAGGATAGCAGTTTAAATTAATAATTACTAAAAACTAATATAAGAAACCAATCGCAAACACCTTACTATTTATTACATAAATATAAATGCGGAAGTTTTGTGTGTGTTTGCGTGTACGTACGTCTGCGTGTGTTTAACCTGACCTAGATTAACAAATATATATTAGTAATAAAGTATCCATTTTCGCATTTTATTGGAGTCCGAATGAAGCCATTTTGATCTATTACAGTCACTATATTATTACAGGTTGCCGGAACGATCGTCACGTACGAGCTAGTGATGTTCCAGTTCAACGCAACACCTTCAACTCCCGATATAACTACTACCCCAATATCTCTTAATATCACTACACCTGTTTTTAACTTAAATACTTGAATTTTAGTGGTGTTTTAATATTATTAAATTGTTTTGCGTGTTATTTTTTTACGTGTTTAAGAATAAAAAGATTGTTATAATCCATAATAATCACACAATTATAAATGCGAAGTTTTGTATGCATGTGAGTACGTTTGTTCCTCAATTTGAAAGGGATTTGGATAAAATTTAGTACACAAGTACACTATCACCGGGTGCAACACATACGCTACTTTTTATAATAAAAATTATTAAAAGGGTAATCCCAAGTAAAGCGACGGTAAGTCAATCTATACTCATATTATAAAGAGGTAAAGTTTGTGAGTTTGTGACGTTGTAGCGGGTAATGTCTTGATCTACTGAAGCGATTTAGATAAAATTTGGTAAGAAGATAGTTTGAGATCCTGGAAAGGACATAGGATATTTTTTATGTCGGAAATCATCCCTTAATAGGGTGAAAATGGGGGATGAAAGTTTTAATTGGGAACCAAGCTAGGGACGAACCCGAGCGAAGAGAGGGCGAGTCGCTCGTAGTATTATAAGCGGCTTAGTAGCTTAGTCGGTTAGTAACTAAGCCACTGTACTGATTAGATGGAATTTAGAATTTAAATCTCATGGTCAACATACCCATATATTAAATGTTTCCTCAAATTTCATACCTTGAGAAAAAACAGAAAGTATCTATAGTAGAAATATTTTCGGCTGTTTGATATTAACATACATTTATTTTGCTAAATATTTCAACCTATTATTAGTTCGAACTCTAAGCATGATCGTCATCGATATATCATATCTTGACCGAAGCGTATCGTGTGTTATATGTACCTACGGCAGACAAAAATTGTTATTTGACATTGAAAATGAGACGGCAAATTATCAGAAGAATAATAACGAGTGAAATCCCGTGGAAAAACTTCGGTTAGTTTTCATGTGAGCACTGTTGTCAGTGTTATGTCATAGAGTCACGTATGAGAAAATTTTACTGTTTAAGTGGCTAAGTTTAGATATTGAGTTTTTGTATCAATGAAATCCCGTGATAGCTGGGAGTTAGGAAATCAGTCCCGCGTTTGATCTCTTACCGGTCATGTCGAAATATCGTTCCACCGGAGAATGAGAGTGACAGAAATATGTTGTTATGTTGTTGTTATATGTTTGATTGATTTTCATGCTGTTTTCACCAATAGATAGAGTGATTTTTGAGGAAGGTTTTAGTATATAATATAATGAAAAACCACCAGAATATACTTCAAACGTATAATAATTATAGATTCACATATAAGAATTACACCACACTTAACACTACATATATCACTACTTTTACTAAAATTACACAACACAGTTTCAGCATAACTTCACCGTAACTCTTACTAAATTAGAATGAATCCCAATCATAAAAAGCACTCCTTATATAATAATTTTAATTTCAATCCACCCACCTTTTTAATAATTATAATAGAACTTCAACTACTTCCGGCGTAATCTCTAAATCATATTTAAGTATTTAAGCCATTTAAGTATTTAATTTATAAAAGCAAACTTAAAATATAAAATATAATTTCATTGAAACTTCAATTAATAACAATAAATATAGGTTAATTTGAATATATCGAACAATTTTGGCATTAAAATTAATAAATCACAACACTCGGCCATCGACATGCGTGCTATCTCCGGAGCACGCAAATCTCACAACACTCGGCATAAGGTAAGTTCATGATTTCCTATTTTAATTTAAAAAAAAATAGATTTATTATAAAGTACTCTCTATATAATGCAAATTGACAAGCAAAAAAAATATCATTATCTATAAATATTAATAAAACTTACAACTATACAACAAACACATGGTAATATTTAGTTTATTTTTATTTTACAGTATCACTGTCATCCGAGCTTGAGAAGCTGTATTCAGAACCAGAAGATTTGTCCAACCCTTCTATGTGAGATGTCTATGAAACCGAGAACATTTACAATTTCGTAACGGTGATTAACCAAGTATTTTGAAATTTTATATGGACAAATAAATTTTGGAATTACCTTCTAGTTTTTTAATATATTAGATTTTTTCATTATTCAGAGTATGATTGTGCGCGAACTCATTTTTTAAAAGTAACCTTACCTATAGTCTACCCTATCTTAATTTTCGAAACATCTACTGGTGTTAGCTGTCTAAATTGTCGTTATAGAATTGACAAGAGCGAATAAGGTGGTGCCCATTTTAAAGATTATAGGTCCTGTTGTTAATGACGTAACGAATACTATTGCTTTACTGTAATATATTTTATAACAGCCCTAGTGTAAAAAGTATTCTTAAATTGGAGTCATTCTAACACCACCATTAAAAAGCCCCATCGTCTATTACTATTGTTACAGTAGGCACTTCTATAAAGTAAAGATCTGTCAGGTCGTCGATGATCAAAAACATGAATTCTGCTTTGACTTCGTTAACCCTAATAATTAAGTTTACTTAAGTTTTAATTAATTGTATAATTACTAAAGCCCCTAATCGTAGGTAAATATTAATTACTTCCTTTAAGTTCCAGCACATTAGCAATAAAACATTTCATGATACTACAAATACCGAAATCTATAAATGCACTCAAATACTTAGTCATTAATTCATTGCACACAATAATAATTTTAATATACCTACTTTTTGATTTTGATGAAATTTTAACACTTATCTACTTATCTCGTGTAAGGAGGGGTTATCTAGAACAATCATCGAAGTTACAATTAAAACACGTCAAGTCATTTTGTCTATTTGTATCATCTGATAAAATTGACATTATAAAAACTTTTTAACAAAAAAATAAAAACCGACTTCAAACAAAAGCACTAAAAAGTTAAAAATAACTGATTGGTAGTTTTCATTTACTATACATGGCACCGATTTCGAAAATATTTGATTAGGTATGTATTTAATAGGTAGGCTTTAATTACTTAGCCAAAGCACACCGACTTCGAAAATATTTGATTAGGTATGTATAGTAAATGAAAACTACCAATCAGTTATTTTTAAGTTTTTAGTGCTTTTGTTTGAAGTCGGTTTTTATTTTTTTGTTAAAAAGTTTTTATTTTTCCCTTTTTAGTGTAGACAGTAGTAGCAAAGTAAGAATTCTAACGTGTTAGGCTTGTCAAATCAAACAAAATAAGCCCAAACTCAAAGTATCTACTATTAGCCGTTGAAGAGTTGCACCTATCCACCTTCTGGCCTTGCCATCAGATCAGGTCAACAACACCGAACCACTGTACTATCAACGGAAATAGAAATACTTGCAAAGTTTCAAGTCAATATGACAATTAAAAGTAGGTTAAATTCATCATTACTTGTTTTTCCACCCTTAGGGGTGGTATTTTTTTTTGAAATTTAAATGGGACCAATCTGAAAGTATACCCTTTCAAACAAAACAAAAATTGTCCAAATCGGTTAATAAATGACGGAGTTCTGAGGTAACAAACATAAAAAAAAAAAAAAAAAACATACAGTCGAATTGAGAACCTCCTCCTTTTTGAAGTCGGTTGATTATTAATATGACCATTTCTAAAATCTCGTTTCATAAAGGTATTATTATTTATAAGAGAGGAATTTTTAAAACAAGTCTTCTGGTTCACTACATTAAAACTCAACTTCCTTTCGTCTATCAATATCGCATGTACTTAATAATGAAAATTTATCATAAAAATATTCTGAAGTATTAAGAAAGTATTAAAAATATTTTGATTTAACATTTTTTTTTTCTAGTAACCTCCCAAAGTTTTCATCACTCGGGAATGCCTGCTATCCTGCCATTCTGGCCACGAGGTATTGAGCGTTGGTAAAGATTCATATCATCTTTTTGCTAAGCCACACATTTTTGTAGAGAATAATGAATAATTTGATTTTCGTACTATTTATAAATTAAGACACATTCGTTAACTTTCTTTAACCATAGCTTAACATCTGGGTCAAATTCTGGAACTACATTAATAGAGTTCCTAGTCTTACTTCGATTAATCTCGAAGCGCTGGAATAATTTTCATCAGGGTTTCGGTTATTAGGTTATCAGGTGGCAGTTTCATTTTAACTGGTACTTCAGCATCACCAGAGACCTCCTTCGACGCCGGCTGGGCCTTCCTGAAGTAAATCCCTCTGCACCATCTCCGTCACCTGAAGAATTGTTTTTTAACGCAGTAAAATCTCTTTTTACAATTGCATACTTTAAGCTCGTGGGATAGATCATAGACATTCAATTTTATAAAACTTCTAATCCAAATATTTTAATCTCAACTATAAACTCTTATCTCTAAAGAAAATATTTCAAATTAAGGGTATTTGTAACTCCAAAACAACTTTTTATGTAACACTAAAATAACGGCTATTAAAATTACATGTCAACTAAAGCACCTCACCTGCTGAACTGATGGCTATAATGCTTGCTACTACGGCACACCTACATGGCCAATCTCTATAGTCCATATACATGGCATACCACAGCACACATGGCTGTATCATACAATCATTTACGTTATCAAGGCACACCTACATGGGTCATAACTGAAGCACTTATGCATAGTTACCACAGCACACCTACATGGCTAACGCATAGTTACCACAGCACACCTACATGGCTAACGCATAGTTACCATAGCACACCTACATGGCTAACGCATCGTTACCATAGCACACCTACATGGCTAATGCATGGTTACCATAGCACACCTACATGGCTAACGCATAGTTACCATAGCACACCTACATGGCTAACGCATCGTTACCATAGCACACCTACATGGCTAATGTATAGTTACCATAGCACACCTACATGGCTAATGTATAATTACCATAGCACACCTACATGGCTAATGCATGGTTACCATAGCACACCTACATGGCTAACGCATAGTTACCATAGCACACCTACATGGCTAACGCATAGTTACCATAGCACACCTACATGGCTAACGCATCGTTACCATAGCACACCTACATGGCTAATGTATAGTTACCATAGCACACCTACATGGCTAATGCATAG